GAGGTACACTCACGGCGTGTGGGGAGGAGCGACAGTCAACACGGCCCATGGCCGGATGACACTGGACTCGTGGGACGCTATCAACATGAATCCGATTACGCCGGACTTCCCGATCGGAGCCTGGGCTGGATGTAGGATCAGCTGCCTGCCAGAGAGCTTGCCCTCTTCCCGCCTTTCTCTCCTGCTCCCCCCCGCTCTCGCTCTCTCTCTCTCTTTGTCTCTCTCTCGCTATCCTGAATAAAGCTCCAACGCCCTGGCCGAGATTGGGTTTTGGACTTTTGTGGCTTGTGGTGTACTTGCTGCATCCAGGTAATCCGTTGCCAGCAAGCCGCTTGGCGAACAAGGAATGAAGAGCTACTGGAAGGATGCCTGGGGGGGGGGGGGTGTTAGGCCTGTAATTAAGGTCTTAGTGTTGAGCTGTACGATTTGTTGCGGGTGTCTCGGGCTCGAGCAGGGGTGCCTGCTGGCGTCTTTGGCTCGAACATCGCCCCAGCGCGAAAATGTGCAATTTGTTGCCGGTGTTTTATGGTATAGTGTAGTATAGTATCACTGGCAGTTGCGGTACAGTCGAAGCCAGATGCGTGCACTCACGAAGGTGTTGAGGTAGTTGCCGAACACACCAAAATCAAAGTTTTACGATAGAAGCTTCAGGGTCGAGCCAGGAGAGGTGCAAACTTGCCGGAAGTGCCGATCTCCAAAGCCCTTAGGCTACCACGAGGATGCGGCAAAAGCAGGCAAAGGTCTCTCACGATTGGCAGCCGGCAGCGTGCAAGGCCGCAGGGGAATTTCGAGAAACGTGCAACGAGCTCCTTTCGTTGAGGATTGGATCCAGATGGTGGCGGGAGCTTTGGGATCGATCGTGGACACACTGCGGTTTGTTCAACATGACGATTCACGCATGCCTTCAGATGCCAGCCATCCAGCTTCCTCGAGACTTGTACTGTCTCACGACATGCAGCTTCAACTCGTTTGTCACATGGGATGAGCTCGGAACTAAGCCGTCGTCATTTTCTGCTCCAGGCATGGCGGTGAACCTGCACAACAATCTCTGGAACACCAACTATGCTTTGCGACTTGCTTGGATACAATTTAAGTTTGAGCTTCGGAGTTGTATCTTGCATTTATCCCGGAGATGACATATCGCAATTCGTAGCGGCATCAATGGGCCAGAACATGCATAACGGGGCTTGTGTTTTGCAGACAACTTGGCCGCCTTGCAGGAGTGAAGTTGTCACACAGGTCCGAGAAATTCATGCCAGGCTCCAGCGTTTAGGGTTTTGAAACAGACATTGTCGCGAATTCGACAATGCACAGAGTCAACTTCGACTGGCTAAACGGGTCTCAGACAAGGCATGAGTCACCGCACCAGACGGCTGCGATGACAAGCCTGCTTGCCGCATCACGAGCAGTAAGGCTTCCATGAAGTAGGCTGTAAACAAGAAAGCTCCACATCCTGGGATCGAACTACCACAATTCCCCAACCAGGCTGCACCAGTTTGGCCCTAAGTACTCCATTCCCCAAGTTCAGGTTAGCGCTAGATGTAACTGCCCATAGAGCCGTTACACACCCCGCAAGGTACTATCCCTTCTTCGACCCACGCTTCTGTGCGAGCCCACTGCAGTGCAGCAACAGTGGCCCAGCCAACAGCTCGAGATTCAAGCTCTGCAAGAGGTGGAGGGTTTGCGGTGAACAGGTCCAGCATATGCAGTTGTAAGAAATCTGGGGGAGTCTTGTTTGGTGATTAAATCGAAACTTGACTCTAGTTGCAGAATACTTCGTGAGACGACGTTTTGTTGACGGGGCCGGGCGTTAGGAAGTGAAACTGACAGTCTGCAGGCTTTTGGATTTGGGCTTGGACTAGATAGCCTGAGGCCTTTTCTGAGGGGCAGGTTACCACCTGCAAGCAAGCTTTCGGACGCCAGGAGGTTGTTAGACTCGTAGCCTCTGTGAGGAAACCGATCATGGATTCGAGCTTTCATGTCGGCAGATGCAAGATGAACAACGCCCTGCCACACAAGGCAACGCCTTGTGGAGATTCCGCTTGAACTTCGTGGCCGATACCATCTACGTGTGAGCTCTGAAGAGGGCCCTACCGCCAGTCGCCCGTTTGATGACGGCATCTCACAGACACCCATAGTACGAACAGACCCCACACACACACATCGAAGCAAAGATCCTCACAGGTCTGACAGTTCCTCCAAGAGTCAGGTGCAGGGTCCTGACATGTCAGCATGTAGGCATCGAGTTTCGATTGGTTTCATAAGTGGATACCACTGGCTTCTCTGCGCAAGCAGCTAACCAGCGGCACCTCTTCGAGGGGCACGTATTGTGCAGACTGGCGTTGAGGCACTTCTCCGGCGACGTTTCAAAGTTTCGGCACCATCTTCTCACCTGGACTTTGAAATCCCGGATCCCGGCACCAACAAGCACTTAAGGCTTAAGGCACAAAAGAAGTTCTCATGACAAAATATGAGACCAGAGCTACCAGAAGCGAGCACAGAGGAGTTGGACTTAAACTTGGCAAAAACAAGCAAGGAACAAACTGGCCACAAAAAAAAGGAGTCTCCAGCCTGTTTGGTACATTCGATACGACACACTTTTGAAATGCCTGGAGGGTATGAGCCGGCAACGGCTCTTGTTCCATTTTTGCAACCATCACGAGGGGCATCAGAATTTCGCTGATGAATGCCAAGACCTGTCTGCAAGAGATGTTGAACAAACGGCATCCGGCAGGGGATGCGCGTCGAGAAGTCTCCAAGTACCGGATCCGGGGCTCCAGACCTCCCTAGCCGTTTGGGCTCAGGGTTTAGATTAGGAGGGCCTTTTAGGGCAAAAGCCCCTGTTTCGATGGGCTTCCAACGGCACGAGGCGCTCGAAAAGAGTGGCTGGCGCATGGCGAGTCTGCACAGGGGGAATCTCAGACTGAAGGTGTGTAGCAGAACATTGACCGCCTGGCCCTAGATCGAGCGATTCTGGAAGACCCACTACATCCCACCACGTGAACTTGTTATTCACGCCGCAGCCTCGGGCAAGGTACGGGCGTTTCAGAGCTAAGGGACACTTAAGGGACCCATACGTTTGACCGTCAATACCCAAATTGATGGAAACCCCGTATGAACCGCCCGAGAGCACAGGTTTGGCCAAGAGGTCTTAGGGACCTTAGCGCTGCCACAATGCCAGGCTTTCGCGACCTCCATCGATGCAGAGCTTGTTTCCGCTATCCTTGGCCGTGGCCCAAAGATCAGGATTTGTTTTGCATGCGAGGATGAGAAAGAAGACGGCACCCAGAGAAGGACCAATTCGATGTAAACGGTTCCGATGAGCAAGGGTGATGAGGATGGTACTGATGTGCCATGTGTGTATATGTATATATATATACATATATATATATATATAATATACATACATGTGTATGTGTGTGCGTGTGACTTTGGCTCCAGGGTTTTAAGCATTATTCTCTATTTCCTTCCCTCTATCAGTACCCCCCTTCTTCGGAATGCTAAACTGCTTCCTAGTATCGGTAGTGGTGGTGGTGGTAGTAGTAGTGGTGGTGGTGGTGGTGGTACTGGTACTGGTAGGGGTAGTGGTAGTGGTAGTGGAAGTGGTGGTAGAAGTGGTGGTAGTGGTAGTGGTAGTGGTAGTAGTAGTAGTAGTAGTAGTAGCAGTAGGAGTAGTAGTAGTAGTAGTAGTAGTAGAGGTGGTACTGATAGGGGTGGTGGTGGTGGTGGTGGTGGTGGTGGTGGCGGTGCTGGCGGTGGTGGTGGTGGTTGTAGTAGTGGTAGTAGTAGTCGTCGTCGTCATCGTCGTCGTCATTTTGTCGTCCGTCGAGTCGAAATGTTCACAGCAGTAGCAGGAGTAGTAGTAGCAGAAGTAGGGGTAGCAGGAGCAGTCACAGTAAAATACGAATTATAGCAACGACAGTGGTCATGGCACAGCAAAACACCATTTGTGGTAGTAGTCATGATAGCGGTCATGGCTACGGCATTTGCAGTGGTAAATCTCCTGGCTGTGGTGCTGGTACTGGAAGTTTTGGTGGCAGTGGCAATGGCCGACAAAGTTACGCATGCATACATACAAAGGCTTGAGCTGACCAACAAGTACATGCATTGAGACCTACACAGGGGATCTTTACTCGTCTCTGCTTGCAGCCGTGTAACGGCATTGGGTACTTCAGTTGCACGTTGGGAGTTCAGGATAGGCAGTGGAGGGGTGGTGGTACGCATAGACCCATCGTGCCTGGCACACGCATGCCTGCAGCCGTGATGCCAAAGTCCAAGCCACCTACTCACCACATTCCTTGGAATGCCCAGGTCACCTTTCCGTTTGTGATCAAGTGGAGGCGCTCGAGTTAAGTTACGAAGGTAGCAGATTCATACTAATTGAAACTTTAAAGTAATCTTCGCACCAGCGTGACTCTTGCTGGTTTTCGGCGAAACTGGAAGCATGAGCTCGTGTAACCAGGGCTTCCGTGAACGACAATGACATCTCAGCAAGAAGCCAAGCAACAAACAACAAACACAGAACATGGTTGTATTAGCTACAGCACATGCAGTCAAAACAGCGATGTCGTTCAAATTTACACATCGCTCAAGTTATGTCAATAAAAATCGTTCTGTTGGTTGATTCTGGTTGATGTTGGCATTGCTACTAGGTGTGTCGCATGCTTTTGCAAGTACACATGCCCACGTCCATGCATGTGGGCACGCATGCATCCACGAATGAAAGTGGACGAAGTAGCTAATTGACTGACTGACTAACTGATTAACTAGCTAGCTAGCTAACTAAAACTATTTAACTAACTAACTCTCTCACTCACTCGCTGACTAACTAACTATGACCAACGAGGCTACCTGCTAAATTAGTTGGCTAACTAAGTAGCCATCTAACTAACAAGTTAACTAGCTGTCTTAGCTAAGTAACTAGTTCACTGAGCCACAACCTCGCCTGTGGGCCACAGTATCCGTTTCGTTCTTTCTTTCTCTCTCTCTATCTCTTCTATCCCTCCTTCTGTCTATCTCTATCCACATACTTAATATATATATATATATGTGCACACATACACGTCTGTATAGATATTTTGTACAATGTGTGCATGCATATATTATCATTTTACAATTCTCATTTATGTTATAAATTACATTAAGTTATTCTATAGTGTATTGTAATATATTATGCATATTTGCATGTAAACACAGACACCTCAGTATGCAAGCTAAGATGTATTGTGGGGACACTCTTAAAAAGCAACATTCCTTACACGCCATACGGATTTCGTTGCACAGGTTTACGTAGGCTGCTGTCGTTGTGGGCATGCTGCGACTACCCGGTTCATTTGAGTCGTCACGGTTCGTTGTATTTGCCTTACACGGCTATATTTGCATGATCGCGAGCATCCTTTCCACGACTGTCATGTTAGGTGTGCCGATGCTACAGACTGGAATGGTTCACGCCAGTCGTTCTATCATGATTTGCGAGGTTACTGATATTTGTAGACTGATCCAGGTGATGCACGACGCCATGCTGATGATTGCCGTCCACGGAGCAGATCTGACGAATATGTACGGGCCCTGGATGCCCTCTAGGATTTTGCATGACCCCGTCGTAGTGAAATACCGGGCTATCGGAGGGGTTCGGGCAAAATGGCTACACGGCTAGCTTCAACTGATCAGCTTGTGAGCTCAGAAAGCTTAAGTTACTTGTGCCCAACAAGGGTTTTGAAGCCAGCCCCCAGCAGCAAAAGCATCACACTTTCGGGCTTGTCATGAAGCCGACAATTACGGGCTGCCTCCCTTTTCCTCTAGTGCACTACTGCCGGTCTCATTTCCAGGATTTTTCTGCCAGCCAGTGCCGCCGTGCTCGAGCTCGGCGTGGAGTGCGAGTTGGAAGGGTCCGGCGTGATGGGCTCAGCACTTGGCCTAAAGCTGTCAGGTCGTGTTCGTTTCTTGCGGCTGTGACTCAATCCAGCTTTCCGATGCGTCCGAGGTGGACTCAGCACACTGGCGGGGTCCAGGACGCCGGCGTAGTGTCATCTTGTGTCTACCATATAAATGGTACATCAGTTCATGGGAATGTAGCCCCGAAGCCAAAACCCTGAAGCACGTGCTGTAGCCTCCTCAGAGTTGATCCATTAGCTTCCTTGGCTTGAGCTGCACTCCGTTGTTGCCACTACGAGCAGTCGTGCATATGCAAGACCAATTATCTACTGAACCTATATGAAAAAAAGGCCAGCCCAGTCGACCCGTTCGCTCGCTCGCCTCAATGAGCCGGAGAGGAACCCTGATGAACAATTCTGTCCGAGATCATGCGTCGCATTTGCAGCTTGGCTGTGCCTCACCGGGAACCGTGTGACATGCAAAGTCATGCTGTTAGGCATGCTGCAGCATGCTTGAGGCCTCGTAGCCCCCTGCTTTTGGCCTTGCATTCCCGAAGCCTCTGCCGAGGTGGTTCAAACAGCAGGAAGAGGGGCCTAGTGCTCAGAGTTATGTGGTACTTTTCGTGGTTGCTACAATCACCCAACGGGGGCTATTGCGATGGCCAGTGTTGTGATGGGCTGGAGTACCGAGTAGTGGATTGGCCTTATCTCTAATGCGTGCTTCCGACAACGATTATCTATCCACATGCGTGGTATTTCTGACAGCAACGCGGATATGAGTGATGACTGGTAGTGACGAACACGAGGTAAACTCACGAGTCCTGCCCTTAGAATGGCAGGTGTCAGGAACATTAAATGCGTTAACACGACCTGCAACCCAGAGCTACATAGAGCCCTATAAAGGCTTCTGCCCAGATCTCAGCGCCATGCTTCTGAGGTTGTGTCCGCAGCCTGGACAAACCCTGGATCCGGACCACATGCCCTTCATGTCTGCGGCATGGCCCCAGTGCTTCCCATTTTTGAAGCTTCGACTCCTTGAGCTCACTACTCCTCGAAAATTAGCTCTACCTGAGGCCTGCCGAGGGTGCATATGTTTAGTGGCTTCTGCGTAGCACAATTGGAAGCCGGAACCAGATCTCCGTTTGACTGCCATGCTATCAACACACCTGGTTGCTGTAGTCTCATTCAGTGTGCTCATGCGG